GAGTGAAATGGGATATGTAGGAGAGGAGTGACTTGATATGCTCAGAATAAAACAGAGCATGAGTTTCCCATTTCTGATATCAAGCAGTTATGACCAGGGCCCGGATTTAAAGGTTGCAGACATTACATCAAGTGTTAAAGTGATAGTTCACCCAAAAGTGAGAATTCTGTCATTAATTACTTACCCTCACGTTATTCAAAACCCGTAAGATTTTTGTTCATCTTTGGAACACAAATTAATATATTTTTAAAGAAATCCAAGGGCTTTCTGATCCTGCATAGACAGCAACACAACTACCACGTTCAAGGCCCAGAAAGGTAGTAAGGACACTGTTAAAATTGTCCATGTGACATCAGTGGTTCAACCTTAATTTTATGATGCTACGAGAATATTTTTTGTGTGCAAAAAAAAAAAAGGTGCATCAGGCTCCTGCTTCAGCAGTACCACATGCATGCGTGGTACTCTAGTGAACTAATACAGTATTTGCCAGAGAATTATTCAATATATGAATAGCGTTGGACATGATTATCTTTAAATAGTTTTAATGCTTATTTGTGCAAATGAAATCATAGAAAATGTGTTTTAGTCCTCTTTGAATGCTTTGTAGAAGGGTATGATGGAATACGTAGGTTGATCAGTAAGACCCTCTCATGAGTTTTGAAACATTACGCTGTTTACCAAAGGAGTAGGCTGTCTGTTCGGAGGTGTAATGAATTTCTTTTCTTTGGACTGCGGCTTTGCTATAAAGCTCAAGGACATGATGTCCACTCCTATCTGCTAAAAGTTGACATAACTGACAGTGAAAGAAGGCAGCTCTCTGCTTCCCGAATAATAACAAAACTTCAAATAAAAACAATTCAAATTTTTAAATGTTACATACCCAATTTGGGCTGACAGATCAAATAGCGGAGGTCATGGCACAATTCCGTGCCTTCAGTATACATTTTTTTGCTGATTTAATTGAAGATACTTGCTTTTAATGAAAGTCCATCATGAGAACGTGAGGACACGCTGCCTGTTTGGCATGCAGAGGAGGGGCTCTAAGAGGAGAGTCTGACAGAGTGTCAGAGAGCTGCCTCCAGCTCTCAGACAACAGCTGCTCTGAATGAGAGGGCGTCCTGGGGGTACTGAGACACAGACAGTGACTCTCTCCGCTGGTGGGGGCGGCTGAAGCGTGAGGAGCATCAGAAGTTGGCCGAGAGCCAGAGCCAGGATTTGCACTGGAATTATTCCGTTTGTTTTCCCTGTAATTCCCTAAACTAATAAAAATGTTTGGCTATACTTGTCTTGAATGTTGTTTGTGCAGAACTGCATGTGAACTCTGTTACTGGTAGCAGGTTTGTTGGTTAAAGGGATAGTTCACCCAAAAATTTTAATTTGATGTCTATCTGCTTACCCCCAGGGCATCCAAGATGTAGGTGACTTTGTTTCTTCAGTAGAACACAAATGAAGATTTTTAACACAAACCGTTGCAGTCTGTCAGTCTTATAATGGAGGTGAATGGGAATCATGGCATTGAGAGTAAAAAAACATACACAAACAAAACCAAATTAAACCCTGCGGCTTATGACGATACATTGATGTGGTCTGTGCAAGAAACTGAACAGTATTTATATCGTATTTATATCGTTTTTTTTACCTCTGATTCATGCAATGTCTGAACTGTTCGAACTGCCCTGAACTGCCTCCTGAGCGCGTTCTCAACAGCAGGCGTGTGAGGCGTCTTCTTCTTCTTCTTCTTGCTTTATGGCGGATGGCAGACTTATAAGTGCATTAGCGCCACCGATCTCTCAAATGGATCATTGACGCTCCTAATTGAGATTGTGGATAGAGTGTCAATGGGCCATTTGAGAGACAGGTGTCGGTAATGCACTTATAAGTCTGCCATCCGCCATAAAGCAAGAATGTTCGTGCGAGATCAAATAGTTTCTTGTGATTTAAATAAATGAGATTCAAATCTAGCAAAGGTTTGCTGTAAATAAAGAATTAATGATCAACATTTTGCGTCAGAACATGATTCTCTTCATTCTCATGCATCACTATTTAAACAAGTCACCTTAACTATTATGTTTCAACTAGCACTAAATTTTAATTCATAATGTTTCCTTATCTCCTTTAACACAAATTGTACTCTGTAGTTAATCTATTAAGATCTGCATTTTAAATGTGTCACTAAAGTATAAAGAGAAGTATTTCTCTTTTTCACTGTGGGAATATCACAATGAAATTCAAATACAATTCTAGCAGCACTAGTAAACAAATACAAATGAAAATTCTAGTCTTGCCAGGTCATGTAGGTGTTATGTGAACCAATATTGTTCTTCTGCAAAAATATTCAGCACATCACTGACAATGTCTCTGCAGGAAATATGGATCTGGTGGCAGCAGCCTTTGGTCAGCTGCATTCAAAATGTCCTAGAGCTATATGGTGATCCATTCCAAAAAGACTTCATGTGGCTTATTGAAAACAGGAAAGATCTACTTGAGGCCTATAATTCGTTTATTGTAAATTATCAACATGAAATTATCTTACGGATTTTCCTCGGGCTCTGTTGCTGTTCCAGACCATGTTGGGCTTCTCGAGAACGACAGAGCTTCAGTGCATTGGAAGAAGTAACTCAGAAAAGAAACAACCACTTTTTGGCTGTTGTGTGTGCTGTCTCAAGTGGACGTAAATGTGCAGCTCAGCTAGACCAGGTCAAGACTGGCTTTAAGTGTTTTTACCGACTGTTCTCCACACTTTGGATTTAAACTGGGTCAGACTGTCAGCTTTATTTTAAGCTCTCATAATGTGTAAACTCAGTTGGATTCAAATGTGACCCTGGACCACAAAAGCAGTCATAAGTATCACGGGTATATTTGTTGCAATAGCCAACAATACATTGTACGGGTCAAAATGATAAATTTTTCTTTTATGCCAAAATATCATTAGGATATTAAGTAAAGATCATGTTCCATGAAGATATTTTGTAAATTCCTACTGTAAATATATCTAAATGTAATTTTTGATTAGTAATTTGCATGGCTAAGGACTTCATTTGGACAACTTTAAAGGTGATTTTCTCAAAATTTTGTTTTTTTTGTACCCTCAGATTACAGATTTTCAAATAGTTGTATCTTGACCAAATATTATCCTATCATAACAAACCATACTCCAATGGAAAGCTTATTTATTCAGATTTTGTATAAATCTCAATTTAAAAAAATTGACTCGTATGACTGGATTCAGGTTCACAAATAAGACAAATAAGATAGCTTACTTGCACAATGACAATTGTTTTTGTTTTGCTTTTTACTTTTATTTGCAGTTTATTTGACAGTTTATCAGACACTTAAGGTAGATACTACATTTTTAACTTCTGTTTTACTCATTTTGACAGCAATTAAAAGAATAATGCCATTTCTTGCAAAACTAACATAATCATTCCTTTTTAGATGTAATGTTTGGAGGCTTGTGTGACATTGAAAATAAATAAATAAAAAATATAAAAAAGAGATTTATATGTAGTTCAGTATTCTGTAACTGAATGCCTTTACAATGAGTTGATCTTAGAATACTAAAATGTAATATTATTATTGTAATATTGTTTGTCTCTACTAAAAGGTAACAGAAAACGCACTCAAATAATCATGATTAATCTGTTTCTGTTTTATAGGTTTAACAAAACAAAATCTTTAAGGACTCCCTGGACCAGTAAGTAGCCAATGAATGTTTGGCAGTTACTGCTCCACAAACCCACAAGGCCAGAAATGCATGTGAACACAAGTGATGTAAACGTTTTATTGGTTTATTCCGTCATTGTCAGTTTTATTGGTATTTAATATGCATTATGTGCTTTCAAAGTGACAAAAATAAAAATAAAAATCTAGCTATCTAATGGGCAACATATTGATGGGTTGATGTCATGATCTTTACTGCCATCTTGTGGTGGATTGATAGAGAAGCGAAATGATATTGAATGAAATTTAGTACCTTTGTACTCCTTTTCAGCCATAGTAGGCTTCAGTATCAATTATATGAATTCTAAATCGAGTCTTGTTGACAAAGTACCCTTAAAAAAAGAGGTATTTAGCATAAAGTTACATAAAGTCTACTTTACATAAAAGTAGCCTACCTTAGCTCATACCTTACCTTAACAATTTGCATTGGAAAATATATTCTTACTCAGTATTTTTGTCTTGTTTTCCAGTATTAATATCTAAACATTCTTAAATCATGATAGATTTACTAGAGAAAAAAATGCAATGGGGAAAAAAAAAGTAATCTTGTTTTTCCTTTCTTACGCCACCTGCAGATTTTATTAATTTTTTTGCTTGTTTTAAGCATAAACTTACTAAAATATTGATATGTTTTTCAGAAAACAAGATTTAAAATATTAAGTCATTTTTATTAAGTCATGTTGATTTAAGAATGTTTAGATATTTGTACTGGAAAACAAACTAGTTAATGCTCCTCCTTTTTTAAAGCTTTTGTCAAGCTAATCTAGTTTCTGGGTTAATTTTGTGCTTATCGTTACTGCCTGAAGCTGCTGAATACAAATACATGTCATCAGATTGAAGGACTGTACGATTTTGTATTTGTTTTCCCAAGGAAAGGGTTGAGAATGCTAATAAATATAAACTGTTCAGGGCAATAATAATTTCGCATATTTGACGTGACAATATATGTATATCTCCTTCCTTTGCTATTATACCGTCAGTTTATCGAAGGCTGCTTTTCTGTGGCCTTCTCAGAAATATTCATTTCTGTTTTCCAGAAAGCTGTAGCCTGCTGCTGCTGTCACGGTGACATACATGTATTATGAATGAATGCGGCTGAGATGGCTCCATTCACTTCAGTCTTCATTGTTCATTGTGTAGACTCAATACTTGATTATATTTTTATATCTGGTTTAGGCTTGATCAACGATCAGAAACTGGATTAGCAAAGTAGGCGTGAATTCTCAGAACAGCCGTTGATGCAGAGCATGTTTATGCGGCGCTAGGACCCAGGGGACGTGTTCTCGTTCTAACGAGGCACAATGCAAATTGCATGCGTTTGTTCTGCAAGGCAAACAATGGTGTATGAGTGAAACCTAAACCCCCGGAAGATCGAGGAACAGACTCACAGACACGCTTATTAGTGTAGGTCACTATAGTGATGGGAAGCTTCCAGTCTTTGCCGGATGACCATCAATATCGAACCCTGTCACAGAAGACAGGCTGTGAGTATAACTATTACGAAGGGGTTATGTTTAATGTAATTAATAGCCCATTACTTAATATCTGACCAACGCAGCACCATTTACACAGGAAACGTGTAGTGATATAAATTATTTAGTGACATGTCGGAAATGTCTTCTTTTCAACTTAAACATTGAGCTGGTGTAATTTACAGCTCAGATCTACTGTACTGCATATGTATTTAGTATAATATTTAGCCTACCTGTTGGAAAACTCTTACCTAATGTTGATATTTTGTTATTAGCATTCATAATTGTTTGTGAGGACAAAGGAAGACAAAACTGTATGCTTGCAAATGCTGGTTTTACTAGTGGTTATGGATGCTTAGTTTGATACCTCTGTATTGCAGACCCAAAATATGGACTTAAACAACCATTCATTGTTTACACACTCATGTTGTTCCAAAGCCATATGTGACCCTGGACAACAAAACCAGTCATACGTTTTTTGAAATTGAATAAATAACTGAATAAATAAGCTGTCCATTGATGTATAGTTTGTTAGGATAGGACTACATTTGGCTGAGATACAAATATTTGAATATCTGGAATCTGAGGGTGCAAAAAAAATCCAAATATTGAGAAAATCGCCTTTAAATTTGTCCAAATGAGGTGCTTAGCAATGCATATTACTAATGATAAATACATTGTTGATATATTTTCGGTAGGAAATTTACAAAATATATTCATGGAACATGATCTTTACTTAATATCCTAATGATTTTTGGCATAAAAGAAAAATCGATAATTTTGACCCATACGATGTATTGTTGGCTATTGCTACAGATATACTAGTTCTACTTATGACTGCTTTTGTGGTCCAGGGTCACATATGACAGATGGAGATATTTTCTGGCAGCCTTAATGACTCCTCAATCACCACTCGCGTTCATCTTCTTCCATGTAAGTGAACAATGACTGATGTTATCAGTCTCTAAAATCACTCTTGTGCTCTACAGACGAAATAAAGTCTTATGGGTTTGAAGCAAAATGAGGGCGAGTAAACGATGACAGAACTTTGTATTTTTGGTTGACTGATCTCTTTAAGGTTACTACGTGTCTCATCTGATCATTCATAATTCAGTTAGAGGAGTCAGTCAGACAACAGCTATGTGTGTGAGGTGTCTTAAAGAAATTTTAGCAGTTGCGTTAACTTCACACATAGTGCATGGTGCCAGCTGGTGAGTCATCACCTCCATTATTTTCATTCTCTTTCAGTTTCACTGGAGCAGATCGCAATTCTCCACAATCGTTTTAAGCAGCTCAGCCAAAACGAGGAAACATTACGGTAATCTGCAAGTAGTAGTTGTGTGTGGGGGAGCATTCTACAGAGTGTTGCAACAGAATGATTGTTCAAAATACCTTTCAAGAATCAAATCAAACCAGTTTTGCTGGTACTGACTATTAGAAAAATTATTGTTATGCTTGATTCATGTGTCTGCCTAGGTGGTTTGGTTGGTTACACAACATGTATTCATACACAAGTATACACAGTACATATAGTACAAACCATAATGCCTGCTATTTACTTGTCAAACCTAATTGTTTTGTGTTCTCACTTAAAGGAGAGATGACCTTAAAACAATCCAAGACCTGGAAAGCAACCCAATTCGGTACCAGATTATAGAAGCTTTCTTCGATAGAAGGTGTGTGCTAATTTATATTCTGTATATGTTTGGTATTAAAAACAGATTCATTCAAAACAGATGTGAAACAATACCTTAATAATAAAGGGAAGTCTTGTTGCACTGTTTTTTTTTCTTGTTTATATTGCTATCATCTTTGGAAAGGTGGCTTTTGTGGCTCTGTGACTTTGAGAAGTAACTTTTAAAAGTGCTATATAAAATAACATTTATTATTATATTATTATTATCAAGAACTTTTCATGGCCAAGAATTTTTATATTATTTTTATATGGTACTTACAGTATATCTCTAATTGTAACAGACTGACTGAATACATTCTTTAAAAAATAAACAATTAATCTTCGTCTTCTTTAGAAAATAAATATTTACATTTGCAATATGTAGATCTGCATGCTACAACATTGTGTAGTTTTTTTAAGTACGTGTTTTTTCCAATTCCTTTGGGTCAAAATCATCTGAAAACTACAAACCTGAAGATTAATATTGAAGTTTAATATTCAGGGCTCAGCAAAGCTGTTGATATAGAGCAATAACACATTACTATCCCCACTTGTTCTTCACAGGAATTTCCAGAAAGATGGTGTGGGATCTGTGGAAGAAATTGGTTTTGAAGAATTCCTTACCGTCATGTCGTACTTCAGAGCACCAGCCCATCGTATCACAGAGGAGCAGAAAGAAGAAATGAGAAGAGCCAAACTGCGCTGTAAGGGCATGCAGAAATGAAATTCAAAACATTCTCTGGAAACTAGGATACTTGGAGATAAAATACCAGCCAACTGAGCCATAAAGTCACAACAGAATTGATACAGTACTGTCTCTTTTTTAATAGTCCTGTTCAACATGCATGACACCGACAATGATGGAACCATAACACTGGAGGAATACAGACATGTAAGAAATTACCAATTTTTGTGAAATTAAATCCATCTGAGTAAATCATTTATAAAATATGTGTACATGTGGGTAGTTCATGATTATCTTCACAGATTATCAGCAGTGTTGTGGTCTCTCTTCTCTAGGTTGTAGAGGAGTTGTTGTCCCGTAGTGGAGCTCTTGGAAGAGAGACAGCTAAGGGCATTGCAGATGCTGCAATGCTGGAGGTTGCCAGTATCTCAGTAGGTCCCATGGTATGTTATTTAGAGGCTAGATCACCAACATTGCATGGAGACTATATCAATATTATATCAATATATCTGTAAAGTTGTAATCTGAATGTATAAGAATTTTTCATATTTTTGAGTTCAGTAAAATAATAATAAAAACAGTTCATGTAAATGGTGCCACATAAAGCACTTTTTTTTGTTAAGTGAGTGACCTGGGGTGCTCTACGTTTCACCTTTTTGTAGTTTAAGAATTAGAGAAATTCATTCACATTTCACATTTGGTCCCCACAATGTAGCATAAACAAGTACACACACACACAATCTCTTGCTAATTTGTCTTGTCTGTTTGCTTGTTTTTTTTTTTCAGGCACCTGATGAGTTCTATGAAGGAATAACATTTGAGCAGTTTTTGAAGGTTTGTCAGTCTGTCCATTTATATGCTCAAACCATATGGTCTAATTTAGCATTTGGCAGTTTTTTTAAGGCAAATATTCTGTTTTGCATCGCTTTAAACATTATTACATACAACATGTGTAAACATAAGACGTTGTAGAATTTGATCACGTAAGACTTGCCTTACTGATATAACCTGCCTTCACTCTCTTTCTTGGTTTCCTGCTCAACAGATTCTTAAAGGAATTGAAATTGAGACGAGAATGCACATTCGCTTCTTAAACATGGACACAACTGTTTTGTGCAAGCAGCATTGTGTCTAGGTACTGCCGGTAATGTATATTTTCCAGTAAAACAACCACTTTATTAGATGAGGCTGGTTTAGAATAGTTTGGATAGATCTCTAGTTCTATGAACTATTTGTAGGATGCTCAGAGTGTGTATTTTACAAAGGTTGAAAATCAATAAGAAAAGTGTGTATTGATATCTGAAACTCCTTGCTTTGCATGCACATATTACATAATTATAGTACGATAAAATTAAAACTATGCAGGCATGGATTAATTAATTAATTTTACTTATTTTTTTGTAATTATTTTTATTATGTCTTTATTCTAAAATAACCTATTATTCTAAAATATCTCTTTATTCTAAAATAACTTATATACCCTACTATTCCCCCCAAAAGTTGTATGCTTATAACCAAATGCAATCATAACATATTTTCACTGAAATAATAATCCTGAATAGAGAAATCATATTATTAACACTGTGATATAGCAATATTTTGTGTGCTTTTTTATGTGCAATTCTAATAAATTAAAACAATACTTGAATCCATAGTCTCAAAAAAAAGAACTGCAGTTACTCCTGACAACCAGCAGATATCGCTAATGTCACAGCTTTGTTTATGTCAGTCAAAATAGAAATACTCAGGTACTTGTACAACCAATAAGCATGTTTCAGCATGTTCTTGCAAGGGCAATTAGAAGTGTATCAACAAACATTACATTACAAACAATACAAAATATTGTAAAACAATTAATGACATTATGACAACGGTAATCTGTAACTGCTAGTGGACACCAAAGACCTTTAATCAATATCAGCAGCCATGTATAGTTCAATGACAACAGACTCTGAGACATAGAGCTGAAGTTGTGCTTAGTAGTTATAAATAGTGCATGGATTGTACTGATGTAGGTTAAACAGTAGAAATAAACTGTGTAGAGCATTTTATTTGCAAAAATGAAACTGGCATTTACTCTGTGAAAGTGCAAAAATGTCTCAAAATGAAGAAATGAATTCATTCTTCTGTTAACCTTAAAAAGGGGGGAAAAGACTGTATATGCACCCACTGTGTATTGAATCAACTTGCAACTTGCATTTACCACAATAAAACTGTATTTTGCAACACTGAAGACTTTTTGTAATGCATTGCTGTTTTTTCCCCCTGACAAGTCAAAGCATTTCTCAGATCTCTTCAGTATTTGACGGTAAAAAGACGATGATCACTTTCATATTTCATGTGAAAGTGTCAAGTGAGGTTGCCAGCACTAGACAGGAAAGAAGTTCTCACACAAGCACCTGTTTTGATTGTATGTTATTTGATTAGGGGGTCTTCCCCACCACAAGCTGCCTCTAAAGAACTGTGACCCACTATCCTCTTTTGTCTGTTTCATGAAAGACGTGCCACTCCCTTGGTTTGCTAGTAAGCAGGCACCGCTACAAAACCCCCATCTGTGCTTCTACAGAAATCAGCTTTTCAGACATCAGGAAGTTTGATGCAGTGTCTCATATCAAACATCACCAGGGTTGTTTGCTACAGATGTTTTGCAGCTTCAGGACAGACGTTTCCAGGGCCATTCAGCTGCTAGAGATCATTATGAGCAATGTGCTGATTAAAGAGGTTTAAAAACTCCTGCCACTAGGCTTACAACCAGTGGAAAAAACTCTCTGGATTATGTAATGTAAGAGTTTGGTGGATCTGCATGATTAGTAAGAAGGCAGGACAGCCCAAACTAGCGATCTGTCTGATTTGAACTGTGCATTGTTTTTGGTATGCACAGAACACTTGTATTTTTATGGTCTCTGAATAAAGGTTGCTTCCCAAACAACAATGCATCTTAGTGAGTCTACGTCCTTCCTAGTCCAGATCTTCTGAGGCTTGTAGGCTAGAGTGTTCCACAACATTAGATGCTTAAAGGGGTCATATGATGCGATTTCAAGTTTTCCTTTCTCTTTGGGTGTTACAAGCTGTTCGTGAATAGATAAGATCCCTAAAGTTGCAAAGACTAAAGTCTCAAACCCAAAGAGATATTCTTTATAAAAGTTAAGACTGGTCCACGCCCTCCTAAAATGCCTCGTTTATCTACGTCACTGTGTGGGAAGATTCTTTTATGACACCGTCCAAATGTTCACGCAAAGAAAGAAGGCATAACTTTGATTATTGCTGTAGTATTGTTACCGCCGCTGCCATGTTGTGGAGACGCTGTGTGTTTCGTTATGAAAGCGAAACTACTTTGTTTGGCCTTTCAAAAGAGGACACAACTAGAAATCAGTGGTTAAGTTGTATTTACGTGTTCTGACAAATAATGCTGACTCACAGCCTGTAAGTATGCTTTCATATTTAAATGATTTGCCACTGATGATTCAAACGTGAGTTTTGAGCAGTGTAGAGTAGCGCTTGTTGTTTGTAGTTTCTCCGATCACAAATGCAGACATGGTTTTATGTTTACGTGGCGCGATACGCAACGCAACGTGTAAAAAGACAGTATAAGTCATTATAATCAGTAATTATGTCCCCACTGGATGCAACAAATGCCTCATTTATAATGGGTTTTATTGGTTTTGTCTCGTCGTGCTGGGACATGGCATCATATTGTAAGGGGCGTAACATTTCCTGTCACACGCTTGAGGTATTCGGCCAATCACAACGCACTGGATAGCTGGCCAATCAGAGCACACCTCGCTTTTCAGACCGATGAGCTTTGTAAAAATCGACGCGTTTCAGAAAGGCGGGGCATAGAGGAGCAACAATAATGTACAGTATGTGGAAAATAATGTGTTTTTTGAACCTTAAACCGCATAAACACATTTCATTACACCAAATACACAAAATAATGTTATTTTTTTAGCAACATCATATGACCCCGTTAAATAAGATGGACTATCAAGTGTGCATGGCTACATCTTAAATGTTTCCTCCCTTGTGCTTACAGTGTGAAAATACTATTAAAGGGGTCATATGATGCGATTTCAAGTTTTCCTTTCTCTTTGGAGTGTTACAAGCTGTTCGTGAGTAGATAAGATCCCTAAAGTTGCAAAGACTAAAGTCTCAAACCCAAAGAGATATTCTTTATAAAAGTTAAGA